CTAACTTGCCTTCAGGGAGTACCCCGAGTTGATAGGTATGCATACTCTTCAAGCTCCGGCAAGACGACAAGCCGATATGTTCTGTGACCGGAGTACATCACGCATCACTCGATGCGCTGAGGCTGATTGGGCATCTGCATTGTTGCCCAAGGAGTCTGGTGGCTTACGAGCCGACAGAAGGAATAATAAAAGAAACAACTTCAGCCCAACCAACCACCCCTTGTCAGTCTTGAACATGCCCAGTGGGACTAGTATTAATTAAGCCTTCAGCATTTACCTGTTGTCACTGGATCAGAATTGGGTCAGAGCAGACCTGTGAACAGGGAACCTCCCTGTAGACTTGAAGATACCAACGGCTGAAGAGCACGGACTAGGTTCCAAGTCAAGCACGAAATTCTTGTTCGGCTGCACAAAATACATACACGCGTTGGGCAGCAATAACACTCGGGCACAATGCGGAGCAGGACCAAGAAGCAATCGTCTGGATCAATGCGATAATGCTCCGGACCCCCATATCCCAGGCATAATGCCACCGTGTCTGGTTGAAGCAGATTATGCCAGATCTCGAGAACGTGACGTGAGTTACTGCTCTGTACTCCACCCAGGACCTGCCTAGGTAGGTATTGGATGAGTTACGCCATGGATATGTGTGTATGTCGGGGACAAATATCAACGCTTGAGACGCCGCAGAAGGACATGCAAACCCCATGATGTTATGCACGATGCCCAATCATGCCTCATCCATGCCCAGCCTAACACCCAGCCTTAGCAAGCTGGGTTGCTTGACGAGGGCGGGGCCTGCAAAGCAAGAGAGCGATATACAAATTTTGAGATAATAATGTGATGTGAGCAACATGCCATGCCTCTCGGCCGTGGACACGCGGCATGCGTGTTGAACATAAGGAGGGCATGCTGACCACCGGATCGATGCGAGGTGATCTGTGGCCGTTTGCCTTTTCTGTGGTTTGCATCAATGAGGCTACGGCCTTTGGTAATGGACACTTTGTTCCTGTAGCTGCATCGAACGCCGTTGCCGGTCGTGGTCCAACCACCGCCTCATCTTCCTCACCGTCGCTTACGCCAACCTCCTCGATCTGATCTCAGCCCCCATGTAGCGGCTGCAATACTCTTGGTCGCGGCCAAGAGAGCCATCCATGACTTTAGGGGCGACAGTTAAACCGATATGGGATCAACCTCGCCCTAGCAGCAAACACTTCATGCTCCCATCGTGGACGTGGAGCCACAGTGATGCTCTATCGAGGCCTTGATCGGATCTTCTCTGCCAAAAGTGCAAAATAAACAAACAATGAGCAACTTTTTTTTTCTTATTTCGAAAGATGCTGACGGTTACTGTCGGCAGAGACTTGACATTGCATGTCTGATGTGAGCCAACTCAAATTGCAATTTATGCGATGACATCACTGTCCCCAACTTCGTGAAAATTCGAGGGCTAGCAACACGGCCAAGAATGCCTTGGTTGTGGTGCCGTCATGCATCGCAATGCCATGATCCTCACCTATAACAGCTACCGGCGATCTTGAGTCAAATAACCATGGTCAACGGTCGGTTTCGTTTTCAGTTCTGTTCAATGCAGTAGATTGCGAGTCGGCAGGCGGTCAACTCGAATGAAGGAGCACAGCCGATTAAAGTCAGCACGAGTCACACGGCCGTCTTTAGGTTGAGAATACAGCCGGCATGCAAACTTGAAAGCCTCATTATGACGGATGCAAACCTGAAGCGGCTGGAAAATCCATGATACTGAAATGAATAGAATCCTACATCGAATTACATCGGAACCGTGTTCCGTACGGTTATTACGCCGGAGACGTCTCGTGTCGAGAGACTTTCTTGATCACGTGTCGGGATCGAGAAAGCACGCCAGCCAGTGGCCGTAAAATCACCTTAACTACGGAGTACTACTCCGTACTTTCGTACCCCTACTTTGTTCTTCCGATTCCCGCACTTCGCATTTCCGTATTCCCTTTGCACTGTCAACGACGACGACGACGTCAAAGATCATCAGACGGCCGTGATGCCATCCAGCCACAGCCCCACGTGCAAACGCGAGCCGTCCCGTCAATACCTAGTCTATCAATCAGCCTTCAGCCGTGCCACGCCTCCCATTCCCGTCTTTAGTTGGCATGTTGAGCAGCTTCGGAGCCGGCCACAGTGGCAACACTAACGAAATATTGAACACTCCATCATCCTATCCTCCGTAACACCTCATCTGTCGAATTCAAGTCCGCTTCATCACACTGAAAGGGGCTGGGTTCGGAAACTGTTATTCAGCTATCTGGCATGGCTACGTGGCTGCCACGAGTGGCATGTTATTCGCTGCCTCATCAAACCATCGGGGTTTTTGACGAGTAAAAAATTTTTCGTTTGTCTTCACGCCAGCTGGCCCTCGCTTGACCCCGCTTCAATGTTGGATAGATTAGCCACGTCAGGACATGCGAACCTCCTCCTCAACGCAAGAGCGGTCACACGATGAATGGTGTTGGCACAGTCGTCGTCACAGCTCACAGCTGTGTCGTGCTCTTGGCCATTGGGTTGGATGAGCTTCTTCTGAGTCGAAACCGTTGTACGGAGCACCTTTGTAATGGCCGGTTAACATGGCACGTTCGGAGACGACACGGTGACGGTAATTCGGCCACGTTGACGGGCAATCTGATTGTCGCTTGATGATAGATCGTGGCCAGCCGTGTGCCGACCGCCCCTTGCTCCTTCTGTCTGTCTCATGATGGAGGCTGGGAGGCTTGCTGGCATCTCGGCCTCAGCGGAGGCGAGAGGAAAAATTCGTCTTCAACCCCCATCCCGCTTTTCTAACTGGACGCTCTGTTTCCTCCTCGACAGCCCCAAATATGCAGTGCTTTGGTGTTCTGTGCCTCGTGCAGGGTCGTGCTGGCAGACTGTTGTCACATCTGGCGCCGTCTTCACCATTCACGTCGTCTTGCCGTGATTCGCTTCTCCACCATGCCACACACTTGTGAGACGCTGGCCAAGCAAGGAAGACGGCCACCGCCATGACCCCTGTGTGACAAGACGAATCACTTGCTGTGGGATTGCCAGCGCATTCATGCGGCCCCCCGTTCACCCAAGTCCGCAGTCGCCGGACCACCAAACGGCTGTCCGCGATTGGCGTCATTTGGCCAAGGGATGCCAGCGACGCTCCATTCCATGCGGGCCTCTGCAGGCCTCTGCAGGCCTCGCTGCAGGCATTGTTGACGTTGCAGGAGGTGACTGAACCTGACTGAAGCTGGCCGCTCCTGGCAGACGGGGCTTCATCTATCATCGTCAGGCGTCCATTGCAACAATAAAACCCGCAGTTCCCCTCGTAGCCCAACTCGTTCTTCCTTCGTTTGCAATTTTCTGCCCAACACCTTGGATTGCAGCCCAACTCACCTTGCTGACGACCACTTTGTTTCTTCTTCAAAACAAGCTTTGCCACCCTCAATTGCAACAGAAACTCTCTCCCGCAACCAGTCTGATCTTCCACAAACAAGACCAGCCCCAAGGATTACCTCTTGCCCCATCCACATACAATACAACCCGAGGATATACTTGCACTGTTCCCTTTTGCACTACAAGCTCCAAGGCGTCTCGCTCCATAGCTTTTTACTGCCGCTGGGACCAAACCGTTTTCCTATTCTGCCACTGAGACTTCCAAGTTGATCTGATTTGGTCTTTGGCTGTATCTGTGTGCTTTTCCACACCACATTCTACCAGGATATACAATGCCAGTTGCTCTTGTTGTATCACACCCGGCCAATATGCCAGGCTACAACAGCACAGGTGACCTCGAAGAGGTCCAATCACTTTCTAGGTACTGTTTTTCTCTCCATTTCAGACTCTAGGACTTTTCATATCAATTTCATGTTGCGCGAACATTATGTCTTTTCATTTTGCTTTCTCTATTTTGACTACATACGGATCTTGCCTACCATCAGGACCATTTTCCCTCAGGACATTGAACAGGCCACATTCGGATTACAACAGCTTTTCCACGGATACAAAACGGGGACAGTACTTGCCCGAGCCGGGCAAGGAACAGATCATTATGCCTATAGCAACTATGGAGCCATCAGTGTGAGTATGGCCCGCTTTATCGCGCATTAAAACAGAAGAACCCGGAGTCCTCGAACCTTATGAATATGAAGGACCATAAAACTCCTTGGATTTTATAATTGCGTACAGGACCGCGTTGAAATTTTTTTTTGGATCGAGCATTCTGATTTCCTCAGTCTGCATATATGGAGATTTGGACGGCAGATTAGCCAATCTGTCGAGTCAAGCTGACGCGTGGTAAACGTCGGCTCAAGAACTTCATTCAAAGTTCACGCAATCTAATTCGATTGCTATCGCAGCCGCGAATGGATTCAACAGTTTACACAAGCCTGTGAATACAATATATGGATAAGCCCGCAAATGGATTTTTGGACCACATTTCATCGGCCGGCTTTTACCCATGGATATGTTCTGTTTTGTTTTTGGACCAGCAATATGATTTCAGTACCGCTCTACTGGCGCTTTCCGAACCGTATTTTCATGGCTGGAGAGATTTGAATCGGCAAATGTGATGTTCGAACTTGAATGGGATAGTCAACGTGATGCTTTGAAAGACACCAAACCCCGGGATGACCTGATGTGTCGACCTGTGCCTTGTCAGCAACACAATGGGAACCAAATACGCTTCAAATGGACATTGGATCGCTGGAATCTCACACCGTTCGCTCTACGGATTGCAAGTCCTTTACTGTCAAAAAAAAAAAAAAGAACATGTGTACATAGCTGGGTTTGTACAATCATTCCTCGTAGACCTGACTGACATGTGGCTAACCGTTCTCAGGATCAAAGTTGACTCATGCTAGACTTCATATTGTTTTCTATGCTTTTGCTTTTCATTCTTTCTTCATGAGACAACAATAACGTAGTGTAAAAAGACTAACCATGGCAATCATTACAGCTACCCTCAGTCATCAATGGCCTCCAATGCCACCGCAATGTTTTCATTTACTCAAACAGAACCTTCGACAGACCTGTTGAATGGGCAGTCATGGGGAAACACTTCAGAGGGCCACCAGAACTTTCAGGATTTCCCGGACAATGGATCATCACATTCTGGAGAAGCCGAGGATTATCTTTTCACATCTGGCCATACTACTCCCAGAGGATCAAGGCTAGAACAAGCCGCCTCCATGGATTCTGTCTGGACAAACCCAAGGACCACACAAAGCTCAGTTATGGCTCAAGCCATGTCTAGAGCAGATTCGAGCAGATCCAGTGGCTCGTCTCTCTCTCAAAACACACAGCTGAGCAGAGGTAATGTGTCCGCCTTCAGGAATGTATCCCACGCTGCTGCTACCACCGCCGGAACCATGGCCGGAATGAACTCTTGTCTTCTCGTGGCTGCTGATGCCCATGCTGTGTCTTCCAATGCTCATGTATACTGGCCCGAGATGGGGCTTGATATCAACATTGCTGGTGGTGGCGGCAGTGCCGGTGGCAGTGGTGCTTTTGCTGTCACTCAAGCCGGCCCTATGCACATGGTGCCTGCGCATATGCATTTGGGCCCCGAGTCTGTCTTGCCGGACAATTCGTCCCCTGGTTCCTGGGACTGCTTTTCTAGCTCCATCTCTCGGACTTCCTCCCCTGCTACTGTTGATGATGTTTGGCTGCCTTCTGCGCTGAGCCCCAACTCTTCGCCTGAGATTGTTGGTGATTCGCCTAGGTATGTTGAATATTTCAACGCAAATACTGAACAGACGTCTTACGCATCTTTGATCAGTGCGGAGCGCAAGGTCTCGATGGCATCAGACAAGGACCACATTGCCCCCAAGATTGAGGAGGGCGTAGCCATGCCTCATGGATATCCCTCCCGTAGACATGGAAGTGATGGCGAGTCCTCAGCTCGGGACCACCGCCTGTACAAGAATGTCACTCCCGGGCCCGACGGTCTTTTCCACTGCCCCTGGGAGGGACAGAACAGCTGCAACCACAAGCCCGAGAAGCTTAAGTGCAACTACGAGTGAGTATTTAGTTCTCTGCACGTTCCAGCCCAAGCTTGACCAACTAACAGTCTGCGTAGCAAATTTGTGGATTCACATCTGAAGCCATACCGTTGCAAGGCAGAGTCTTGCGAAGGGGCTCGCTTCTCCTCCACCGCCTGCCTGCTGCGTCACGAACGTGAGGCTCATGGACTTCATGGACACGGTGACAAGCCCTTCCTCTGCATCTATGAGGGCTGCGAACGTGCGGTTCCTGGCAACGGCTTCCCCCGCCAGTGGAATCTCCGCGACCACATGAAGCGCGTCCACAACGACCACGGAAGCTCCGGTGGCTCTCCACCCGCCACTGCCAATGGACAATCTGCCAAGGGCCGCAAGAGAAAGACCGAGGTTGCAGAGCCGCAAAACGGCACTCGCAAGGCCACGCTCAAGTCGATGCCAGTGGCTGACTCCAAGCAAGTTTCCTCCAAGCCCCTCCTCGAGCAGTGGCTCGACCAGCGACGTGCTGTTGAAGATCTCTGCCGCAGCCTAAGCAAGCCCGATGACGCACGCAACCTGCAGCAAATCGGTGAGATGCAGAAGCGTCTTGCTTACATGGCCAAGATGACCTCGGACTGGACCTCTGTCACCTCGACAGACATTCGGCCCGATACGAACCGCAGGAACTACACCACTGGCTGAATGAGAGTTGTAAGTCCTACATCACCCAAAACCACGAGCTTGCAAAAAACTGTCACACAGCTGCTAACGTACCACAGTTGGAGCGCTCTGATGACCGGGGCGGGGTTGGAATTTGAATTTAGGGCAATGCAAGTGTTTTTTTCAAAAAAAAAGTCACGCCCAGTCTTGCCGAGCTGGATAGGATATCCAGCCCAAAGGCAAAAGGCAATTCGGGGAAAACACGCTCCCAATCTAGACGAGCAGCTCTTTTGCTCGTACTCAAACGGGGGTGAATGCCACTCCAGGAGCCACAGGAATCTGGGTTTGCTCGGGAGGTTTCCCGGCAGCCGTAGGATCAGGATGGAAAAGGCAGAAACTGACCTTGGTTCAGTAGCCCTGAGATTATGGGATGTCGACTTTTTATCGTGCCGATGGAAAGTATTGGAGCCGCATGGCAGAGTCTTCTAGGCGGGATCTTCGCTTCTGAGAAGGGACGCAACTACAGGAATTGCCGCACGTGTTTGAGACGTGGCGAGCTTTAACAACAAATGACAGATGAGATTGTTCTATTGTTCTATTTTTTTTATTTATTTACTTTTGTTTTATTTTGAGGTTTCCGATTCAGATTGCTTGTTTGTATTTGGGACAATGTCCAGGCACTAGTGGAAGTTGTTTTCTTAGTATATAGATTCTTTCAGCTCCTTTACACTCGCATCAAACGGGTTATGACAGTGACTTGGTGTCTCTTTTTCCAGCTGCACTTGTAAATACATACTTACCTGGTGAAATGGGCGATGGAGATGGAACAAAGACAGTTCCGTTTACGCAGTTGGGTGTCCAGCTGGTTTGTGTCGGGCTCCGCGGTGGACTGCGTTTTCATTCATGTGCTTGATGCATGTGTATTACACGACATTGTCGCACCGTCTTGGTTCTCCCGTTTCACTCATGCCGTCACTCCGGTTTAAGAATCCCATGTGACCTAGCAACCCGACAGGCCGTCATTCGCTCATGCGTTTCAATGCCATTCGCTGACCTTGATCTGTATCCACCCCGAGAAAATCTTGATTGGTTAGCCGCCAAGGTTGCAGCGAGCCCAGGACTTCATCAACGTCGGCGGCCTTGTCGGGTCCTCTTTAATCATGCTGGGTCGCTTCACATCGAGTATGCGCAGTTTGTCCTCCCATGTTTGTGCGAGTTTCCGGTCGACCCAGGGGCCATTACCGGGGTCGGAAGAGGGGAGGGAAGCTGGCGGGTGAGTTTGGCAATTGTGAGCGCGGCCGCGCCTCCTTTTTCTCCGGTGTGCTGTCGCCCAGCTAGCCGGTAAGGAGCGGAAGAAGTCACATGCTGGACGCGGGATGCTGGCAAAGCCGTAGTCCAAGAGCGCTGTGATATGGCCCGTCTTTGGGTCACATGGTAGATTATCGGGAGCGTTCTATTTCGGCGTCAACAGCGGCGCGCCAAAGAGCGACAAAGTTCAGTGAAGAAAAGGGAGGAGATGAAGAGAACAGAGAGCTCACTGAAATCTGTGTGTATAGTTGTCTTGTCCGGCCTCGAGGTCAGAGCAGAGAATTGTGCTTGCAGGCCATGCCCGATAAAAGCATCAGCATGTTCTGTGACGCTGTTGTTGCGCCAGCCTTGCAGATATGATCAGTTCTTATCGGCTTTGGCACGGGCGGCATACGCGTCCAGGAAACGGTTGCTTCGTCTACTTTAACTACATTGATGACCACGGAGTTGCACGACAGTTGACGGCGTAGCAGTAGTAATAATGCGACTTCATGTTGGTGGTTCCTTGCTCGCATGCCACAGAACAAATGGCCAAAGCCACGGGCCCCACAGGATGGATGGTTCGTGCCGGCCAAGCAGAAATTTGACTAACCAGGTGACGTCTGGCGAGTCCGAAGTCGCAAGACACCAGCCATACTCCGTATATACGTATATATATATTTTTTCGGGCAACGCACCACCCGCCGATTGAGCAAGCATTGGGGCCGCCGACGACCCGAGTCAAAGGGCTACGACGGACTGGCGGGCACGGAAACAATGTCGGCCTCATTACCTGGGTCCAGGGACCTGCCGGTCTCGCAACATGATTTGGGCACGTATCTCGGCCGGGTGAAGCATGCGGTGGGCTTGACAGACCCGAGGTGAGTTGCCGAAATCGAGACGACAAACTCGACTGCTGGCTGCGGGGAGGGAGGATACTGCCATCACCACCTGGGGGAGGGGAATAATTTCGTCGGGGCTAACTCTTCGTGGCAGCACCCTCCTCGCCGGCACGAGTGGCCTTGAGCGCGCGAAGCAGCTCGTCACAGACTACAAGACGGGAAAGATTGCGAGCATGACGCCCGAGCTATGGCATGCCAAAAAGGTGGTTGACTCGACGCTTCATCCTGGTATGACCAAACGCCCTTCCAAAAAAACAAAAAACGCCTCCACCAATTCTGTTGAAAATGGCTGCTAATATGGCCCAGACACGGGCGAGCCCGTCTTCCTCCCCTTCCGCATGTCCTCGTTCGTCATCACCAACCTCATCGTCACGGCCGGCATGCTCCAGCCGGGCCTCCGGACGCCCGGCATCATCGCCTGGCAAGTCGCCAACCAGTCGCTCAACGTGGCCATCAACTCGGCCAACGCCAACAAGTCGTCGCCCATGTCCACGGCCACGCTGGCCAAGTCGTACGCCGTCGCCGTGTCGGCGTCCTGCTCCGTCGCCCTGGGCCTCAACTCGCTCGTGCCGCGGCTCCGCGTCGCCCCGGCCACGCGCAACATCCTCAGCCGCCTGGTGCCCTTTGCCGCCGTCGCCACGGCCGGCGCCCTCAACGCCTACCTCATGCGCCGCGGCGAAATCACGACGGGCATCGACGTGCGGCCCGTCCTGTCCGAGGCCCAGAAGAAGGAGCTGCAGGAGCAGGGCAAGTCGGAGCGCGACGTGCCGAGCCTGGGCCGCAGCCAGCGCGCCGCCAGGCTGGCCGTCTACGAGACCGCCGCGAGCAGGGTCTTCAACAGCTCCCCCATCATGATCATCCCCCCCATGGTGCTGTACCACGTGCAGACCAAGCAGGCGTGGTACAAGAAGCTGATGGAGGGCGCGTACGTCAGCTCACGCCCGAGGCTGGCCGCCGGCATCCCCATTGGGTTGAACCTGGTGCTGATTGCGGCCACGTCGTTTGCCGTGCTGCCGCTTGCGCTGGCAGTCTTTCCGCAGCAGCAGGAGATTTCGGCCGATAGTTTGGAGGACAAGTTTAGGGGCAGGGGGGGGCTGAATGGCAAGGTGTGGTTCAATAGGGGGCTGTAGAGAGAGGAGCATGTGTGGAGCGATTCGCAAGAGAGTTGGCGGCTCAGTTGTTGGGCGGATGCACTTTATACCAGCCGAGAGCAGGCGGCTTTTTTTTTTTTTTTTCGTGTCTTGCAGAGAGAAGAGAGACAAGAGATGTGCTAGAGTCAGAACTGTTCAGACTAGATTTGCTAGACTAGTGTCAATAGAAACTGCAAAAGTTTGGAAATGGCCGTCTCTGGTTCAATCGTTTCGGTAAAATGTGTGCTCTGGCCGGCATTGTACATGTACACTCGAGGAGTTCCAAAACAAACAGCAGACACAATCTGTATCTTTCAAACCACACTGCCCCCAGAAGTACGGATGTTTCAATTACATAGGTTTGGACTTGGCCAGAATCATTTCCTGAGATGTTCTATTTCGCTTTGCACCGTGTACAAGAACAAAGTGTCTGATTTGACCGGGGCATAACCTCGCATGTCTATAACTGAGTGGTATATCAATGTATCCAATATCTAATCCGCCAGTTTCTCCATCAACTTCTGCACGGCAGGGATGTAACACGCTGCCTTTTGGAAATCCCCCAACTTGACTCTCATCAAGTCAAACGCCAGCAAGACGCTATGCTCCTCGCCATGTACCCGGTCGCGCTTCAACGAATCTGCCTTGGAGTACCGTTGCGAAAAATGCGTCAACAGTGTTCTCCGGGCTTCCATCTCTCGCGCCACAGAAAGCGCCTCTGCCATGGTGGAATGCTTCTTGGCCTTGGCGTGATCCTGTTTATCGTCGCCGAATGTGCACTCGTGGACGAGCAGGTGGGCTCCCTTGCAGCCCTGAGCAAAGGCGCTCGAGGGCCTGCAGTCGCCCGAGTATGCTATGCGCAGACCAGACGTTAATTCGAGCTGCGTGCCGTACGAGCGCCAGCAGTGAGGGACAGGGATGCGCTTGATGGACGCGAGGCCAAAGTTTTCTTCGCCGAGGTCCTCTGCGGTGGTCATGTCGCGGTCCTTGCCGTTCGGGAAGGGACAGCTAGGGAACCGCAGGCGGTGGAAGCCTAGGTCTTCGACCTGAGATAGTTCTTCGAGCATGCTGCGATAGCGCCCGATGCAGGAGATGGCGAGTGTTGTGTTGGTGCCGTCGCGTAGGGACTGCTCGTACCAGGCTTTGATGAGCGATGCGGTCCCCATATGGTGGTCGGCGTGGACGTGGCTGATGACGATGCATTTGAGGTTACGGAGGACATCGGCTGCTTCCTCGGCGTCGAAGGCGCGGCGAATTTGGCCAAGGGTGCCTTCGCCACAGTCGAGGAGGTAGTTTCCTATACCGGGAACTCGAATAAGCGTTGCTGAGACGTTGCGGTGTTTGCTGGGCACAGACGAGCCGGTTCCCAATGGGATGATTTCAGCGTCCCTGTTGGGGATGTCCTTTTCTGTTTCTTCGACTTGGGCTAGGAATTCGGCATTTGTTGCCTCGGCTTTGGCTTCTTCGGCAAGCGTTGTCAGCTCTTCATCTACCGATTTTGCGGCACCTAGCAAGTCTGGGAATGGGGCCATTGCCTGGTCGTCAAAGGTGAGGCGAGGCATGAGTTGAAACTTCTTGCCTGCGCGGCCAAACTCAATGGGCGACCCGGCAGGCAGAACCGGATGCTTGATGGTGTTGTCAAACTTTGGCAAGGGGAAGCGTTCGGGGTCAATTCTTCGCAGCTTGGTTTGGATTTCGGCAGCACCAGGATGTGTAATCATGTTGGGACATGTATCCTGTGAGCAAAAAATGTGCTTGATGTGGGGGCGCTTCTCAATGAACTTCTTGATCCGGGCATCAGAGTTCAAGTCACTACCCAAAATCCAGTACATGACGCAGATATGCTCCATCATCTCTGGACATTCCCATTCTGGCCGCCCTAGGAATGACTCGAGGAAGTCTGGTGAAGCAATGTCTGCAATGATGATACCCTTCCCAGGCTGACGCTCCCCTAGCACCATATCAGGCGTAACCACCTTACCATTCTTTCCTTCCACCGATTGCCCGGCGGTAAGCAACTTGAAGTCCCGGGGCTGTACACCGTGTTCCTTTGCGACGACGGCGTTAAATTTACCCCTTCGATCATGGCACTTGACGATATAGGACATTGACATGTCTCCATAGGCGGTTTTGGGGAGGGGAAAGTGATTGATGGCCAGGGCGTCTTCATTCTTTACGTCCCCAGCGTTGTCACCAGGGTCTGGGAACACCCAGGCAGTGAGGTCTGGATTTGAGGGCTCGGCGTCGTCTGAAGCCGGTGGTCCCCGGTAAGCTCTCAAGGTCTTCCCGTCGATGATGACCGCTTTATCTGTAGGCTTTAAGTCGCGACTTTTTCGAGGTAACAAGACTGATCTGTTATTGAGGCTGCCGCTAAACATGATCCGCTCCACAATCATACCGGCAACTTCTGGGTCGGAAACCACTGATCGCCTTTTCAATGTTTGGCCTTGTGACTGCCCATTGCCGTTTGAAATTTCTTCGTGGCGGCGTTTCGGGGGACTAGTCGACCGAGTCCTCCTTGCGGGCACTTTCCACACCCGAACAGCGTCATCCACCCAGTCTGGTTCCGTCTTGGTAGGGTCGATGCTTCGAGGATCTTCCCGAAGTTCGTGAGGCCGTACGCTGATGGGTTGTCGAAAGATGACCGGTCGACAGGCCGCCAAGATGTGGCAGAGATTGTCTCCTCCATGAACATCAATGCCTCCGTGAACTGCAGGTTTGAGTAGCTTCTGCCCTTTTTCTTTCCTCTTGGCATTCTCGGTGGCCGTGTGTTCCTTTGCTGCATCGATTGCGCCACCAACACTGAGCAGATATCCTATCAAGCCACCCATTTGGTTCCAGCCAATGCTTCCGCTGAGAAAGACGTGCTCCGTGCCTCCCATGTGAATCTTTCGACTCCCAAAGGCTCGCTGTGTGCCTTCAGCCACCTGGCCGAAGATGTACGACCTCTTGTCATGGTGGAGGTAAATGCAGGTTCCTGGAGTATCAGTCGACGGAACTGTCGCAACTTCGACCGTGGTAGTCATGATCGAGCCGTCAGAATGGCCTCGTAGACCTCTGGACAGTCGCGAGTATGCTCGTATGGCGGGTAGTGATCCAGGTCTTTGTTTTCTCTGCGCCAGAGGTCGACAAGCTACTGGACCGTACCTGTAATTAGTGAGGCTAACTTGTCGCCGGCTAAAGAGTGACGCCGAGAGCAGACAATTAGTGCGCAGACCCTTTGCGCCGCATATTTCCATCAGCAAGGGCGGGACGACGTCGAAAATATAACCAAGATTGGGAAGTCCACAAGCGCAGCTACATGAAGGCTTGCCCCACGAGATGACTTTTTTTCTGGGTCAAGCAGACATGGGTCGAGTCACAAAAGGCGAATGACGCATCGTACCAAAAGGTTGCAGGCAAAGGGTATTTGGATGACTAACAAATTTGGAGAAAGGGGGAACCAACCGTGATTGGCCACAGGTAACTGTAAATAAACCGTACAGAGAGCACGAAAACGTTGCTTGGTATTGCAGGTGACGGCGAAACTGTGTTTCAACCCGATTAAACAAATGCTTCCTGGTCATACACAGCTGGGAATTATTGATGAAGGAAGTCATTTGCTGTTAGCATACAGTGTAACCAGCAATCGCTTGATAGGCAACTTCTGGCAACCGCCTCTCCAACTCAATCTAATGATATAGCCAAGTTCTAGACCTCACCACACTGGAAACGACGCTGTATTGATTGATATGGTCAATGCTCCCCGGCTTGCACTCGACCCGATCCGTCACCGTGCTCCAAATAGTGTCCCACACACGCGAATGCTTGCCGTAATTGAAACTGCTCTTCCAGCCCCTTCGGTGATGCAAGTCATGATCTTCAATAATACCCTCTACATCAAGCCGTTTGTACAACCAGCTCAGTGGCGTCGGCGCGGTCGCATAGATTCTCAGTCCGCTATGTCCCAAGACCTCCAAGAAGATCAAGCAGGTACTGATGACACATCCACAACTTGTAAAAGCCCATGGGCAATCCGAACCCATTCTTGATGGTATAGAATGCCAGCAATGGAATTACAATCATGTCAAAGATTTCCTGGACACCGTTCGCGTACAAAGTAAGTAAAGGGTTGGGGTGTTTGGTCAGATGGTGAGTGCGATGGAACTGCCACAGGCTGCCCATATCATGCATCAGTCTGTGATACCAATAAAACTAGAAGTCGACGGCCAGGCCGTATAGCGCAATCTCGACTTGGAGCCACGCCCAGCTCATGAAGGAGGGAAGATGGTTCTTTCTGTACGCGAGAACAATGACTAGCATTGGGCGAACGTTGGTTGCTGAGAGGAGTGACATGAAGACCTTTTTGACGTTCACGTCTGGCACACCATCTCTCTCGTGCTTGTCTCCATCAAGGAAGCCATAAATATGGCCTAGTCTGCGCAAAATTTGTATTTCGCGGACACTATTGAATGTGAGGAAGACATGGTACAGAGCAAATGCACCGATGACACTGAGGTTGCGTCCTGTCAAGTAAACAAAGGCGTGGTGAATGGCCAAAGGGATAACGGCATGGATCAGGATCCATCTATGCATCTGCCAGTCTGGCAAATATGGCACCGGGTCATCTTTTGAATGTACTGGTACAGGCTTATCGAGAAAGACATGATGAAAGTCAAGACGGTCTATGAGACGATGGTAGATGGTCCATTCAGAGCGAGGCGAGCGCCGCCAAGTAGACCTCATAGAGTCTTTGGGGTTGCGTTGAACTTCCATGGTGTATTCTGATTGTGTGAAATATCATCAATATGCTAATAGTCCATGTCAAAGGATGAAAATGAACTGAAAAAGAGCGAGTATTGCTTTTAAGTCCTTGATATGTGACCAGAGGCGAGACGGTTCCAGTAGTTCACCCGGCTCCGTTCATAAATCGTTGGTCGATCTGGGGTAGTGGCAAGATAGCGATCGGGATAAGTCTCCCTATTAGCCGCACCCTTATTTCAGGAACGGAAGCGGAACGTCTGCTTCAGAGTTGGACTTTTCGAAGAGTAGATTGTAATGGGCTCCCCAGGTTTCCTCCTCTTCTGCGGTGTCAGATGCGGAGATTTCAACAGCATATAGCTTGTTTTTAAGCTTAACATGTGTACGCTAGTAACTGGGGCCATAAAACACTATTACGCGCAAGCCACTTACATATAATCCCAGCAATCTGACTTTCTTAACCCAGCTCTTTCCCATTTCCAGCCAGGCAATGATGCATGTGGTTTAAAAGGACCAGATTACACGGCGCGATCGAGGACCCCGGATCTGTCTGAGTGACCGAATTGCACGCGTTGCAGAACCAAATAGATGTACCCATTCCCGGTCGACGTCGAACTCTGCTTTCCGGTGAAGATGGAATTTTTTCACGGCATGTATTACCATATTACCAAAGTCGAACTTGGAAGGGAAGCTATATCGCTGAGTAAGAGGAAGACAGACCAAGAAACGCTTTTTTGAATCAGTTTTGGCTTTAGGTTCAGTTTTCGGCTAGTTTATCTGAGATTAGAAGACTAGATTTGAACTTGTATAATTCTCACATCGGAAAGATAGGAGGCAGGTGCCCATTTATTTGAGAGATGGTCTCAACGCCACCAAATAAGTGTGGACTAGAAGCCGCAAACTCCGTCCTCACGGCCTCGCCCTCGCGCAACATATCACAGCGCGTCTGTGTCTCTCTAATACATATTGCAACGAGACTGTGACGTCCAGTGATGTGCGCGGCAAGATCCGTTGGCACACAGAGAGTCCTGTGTTCATCAATCGGAGGCAGTTCTGGATGTTGGTATCTCAGTTCCATGTACTTTGGACACAAGCTAAAAAGATGCAAGCATATCAGCGATCTTAATATGCTATCCCCACTTTGCGACATTGGTTGTAGAGTAATATCTTGTTGTGGATGGTGGCTTATTTCTTGAATGGTCATTTGTCCTTGCTCGCCTCGGGGGTTGCGCAACCACATGACTCTTCGGAGGCTGAAAGCGAAGTACTCCGTTGAATCCGCATTACGAGGACACAATTAGGGCCCTGACTCAATGTGAAACGACCAGGGCGAGGTAGAGGATGTTGCCTTCACTTGGTTGAGCCCTTCACATAGCGGACCCAAAAAGTGTTTCGTGGTAGGCTTCCGGCTGCCTGATGGAATATTGTCAGTGAACCCCCTAGGCGCGCATAAGCGAGTGACGGGTACTCATGATGCTAGTCCAGAGCTTCGGCAATCTCACATCATAAATCAGTCGTCCCGTCAGGCAGTGGGTTATCCAAGGGGCGCTCCGTCCGAGCCAGTTGCCAGTGAAGGCGGCTGTTGATGGAGAAATCAGGAAAGAATACGGAGTAGTTGAAAAAAAATTAAAAATTTAAGGAATTATGGATGCAAAGACTGGCTTGAAGGATATTGATCGACTCCGTACGGAGTAGTGAATGTGACGGTCTGATTTTGGCAGACATGGACGTAGGGGCCCGCAGCCAGTGGTACAGGCGGATCTGGGCTGGAAGGCGCTATCTGCGCACCTGCCTGCATGTGCCCTTTCCTCCCAACCAACCGCCTACGTAGGTACCTGGGTACTTTGGTATCTCGACACAAATTTTATATTACCAGCATTTTTCATTCTCCTCCTTGGAGCTCTTTGCATTCCTACGCCAGCAAAGCTGTTGCAGTCGTCCCCCGATTATTCAATCAATTAAATATTCAACGGCCTTAATGCGTACCTCCGCCACAATTCGACAAAGGTTGCTAGGCTGAGCTGACTACCCAATTCAGGCAGTAAATTAGCATTAGGCGACTCCGTCATCCTATTCAAGATAGCTCCACCATACCTTGATGGTTTATCAGCTTCACTGACAGCCAGCCAAGTGGACATGGGGAGCCGGATCGATAGTTACTGATCGATCAAGTCGAGACTACAATGGGCGGACTGGGTGGCCAGGACTGGGGCAGTCGTCCCGAATGGAATGAAATGCTACCCTGGCAGCATGGCAGCTTCACACCAGCCCGGCGGGATCGCCGAAGCCACCGACATGGAGCCTGGTTCGCGACGTGCATGTGCATGCAGCTCCAAGCAGTGAGGCAACGGTGCCACTTCAGTCAGGATCTGTGCTGTGCTGTCATGCAAAGCTCCATTTTGCTGCCATGTTCGGCTTTTGATTGCTCGACCCGTTTCCTGATTGCCCTCCAAGAATAGCAAAGTACTGGCCACTACCCAGTAATACAGAGGCTACTATCAAACAAATGCTCCAGGATTACCCCATGGCTACCTACCTAGGTAGGTAGGCAAGCAACACACCTGATAACACTGCCGATCAATGGACGGGATCTCCGGTCTCCAACATCCAATCCCAAGACGTGGATCTTGCGAACCATAATGGCTCTATGGAGTCACGCGGGGAGTACAGCTTATGTTGCCATTCCGCAATTTTACATATTGGCATCAACGTCCGCTTCCCGTCGCCGATCGATCCTATCAAGAAAAAAGGTTCAGTATTGCCCATAGTTCGTGTCACCCCTGTGCCCCATGATAGATCTCGCCTTGAGACACCAGCAATTGCGGAACGCGTCGCATTTGAACAAAGACGGTAAATTACGGCATACAGGGCACAAGGGACCCGACCCATCTCCTGACCATTCAGAGTGACCATTCTCGCCCGCTGGCCGGAGCTTTCAGACCCTTGTTGAGAGCTAAAAGCTTACGGTGTAACTGCGAAGCGGGCGCCGCCACCAGGAGCTTTCGTAGAGCTCGAGTCACCATCTACATCGTCAGCATCACGTGCGGTCTTCGGCAGCGAGGACGGATCAGCAACCATTTTTGGCCTTGCGAATGCTCTCTTGGTAGGTTAGTTTTCAATGACGTGTAGCTGGGAAACGACTAGAAGACGCCAAAACGTGTTTTTGTCCTTGGAATTATCTGCGCCTAGGCCAGGAATTGCCCCATCGAGAAGGACAAAGGCGAACAGGAAGTACCAAGTTCCAAGGGCCTTCCTTTTTTTGCGATGGGAGAAATCGCGGATCCTGCATTGCAGGTAATTGTTCTTGTAAGTTGTCACCGAATCTGTCGTACCGTGAAGATCTTGCCTGCCGCTGCTTGAGGCCTGCGAGCCGCACACTCTTATGGGCCGCACTCGGTCGGGGTGCCGACTTGCAATGACCTCAACACGCGTGTTGCTAACATGTCTTAGGGTTCTGGAGGAGGACCGCAAGAATCTAACATTACAGCATTTTTGGTACGGTCCGTCGCTGAGAAATGGTCCAAAGGATCCATCATCGCCGTTGACGCTGGCGTCCATCTCTCTGCCATCACCCGTCTGCTACAAGAATCTTACCCCTCAACAACACCTAGCGACTTACCTTTCACATTAAGTACTGGAGCATTTGCTGGACTGGAGCTGCCATACGCATCCGCAGCCGCTAATGCAGCTCATATCACCAGATCCCTGGTCGACACATATCTCATCACCCACCCTCACCTCGACCACATCTCTGGGTTTGTTGTCAATACAGCTGGTCTACCGGGGACTCGCCCCAAAAAGCTGGCTGGATTACCCAGCACCATCCAAGCATTCAAGAACCACATCTTCAATAACGTTATCTGGCCTAATTTAAGTGACGAGAATAATGGTGCCGGTCTGCTCACTTATCTGAGGCTTGTTGAAGGAGGCAGCCCAGCTCTTGGAGACGGGGAAGGAAAGGGATACATGGAAGTGTGCGACGGACTTTTAGTTAAGACCTGGAGTGTCAGTCACGGGCACTGCATTGAGAGGCATCCTCATAGGGGCTCGGCCTCTAGTGTGTCGACGCGTTTTGGCAGTCATGACGCTTCATCGCAAACACCCAGAAGAGATATTCACTACCACATGGCAATGCAACCTACGCCCAAGGCTACTGGTTTGCTCAGCCAGGCTGCATTTTCGGCGGTGTCATCGCCACAGCTTGGTGCCAGCAATGAGCAGGAAAAATTCTGTGTGTATGACTCCAGCGCTTATTTTATAAGAGATCAGTCACATCGCCGCGAAGTGCTCATTTTTGGAGATGTTGAGCCTGATAGTATTTCCCTCAGTCCGCGGAACCTGTACGTTTGGCAAGAAGCTGCTCCCAGAATCGTCTCTGGCATACTAGCCGCAATCTTTATTGAGTGTTCATACGACGATTCTCAAAGCAATGACCGACTATTTGGACACTTGAAGCCGTGCTTTATAATGGATGAATTACGGGTACTGGCGAATGAGGTTGAAATTGCGCAGAAACTTGGGAACTTTGATTCCAAAAAAAGAAAACGTTCAAGCATGGATGAAATCATGAATCAGCGGCGGAATCCTTTCAGCAAACAGGGCTCAATGTATGATGACTCTGTATCACCGAAGTCGATCAACCCAACGGTACTAAAACAAGAGGCAACACCGGGCCATGTCGATACACCGCATCTGGCGACACCTACGGATGAACTGTCCCTGCATGATTTTGGGTCAATGGATCCTATTCTCGCGGAAAAGCCGCTTGAGGGTCTCAAGGTGATCATCATTCACGTCAAGGAGCGACTGGAAGACGGACCACAAGTGGGAGATGTCATATTGCAGCAATTACAGGACCATGAGAAGGAAATGAATCTTGGATGCGAATTCATCATGTCCAAATCGGGAATGAGTCTCTACTTTTAGCCGGCATTATTTTGTTTCTCTTTTCTGCCCGCCTTATTTCTGCTCCCCCCCTTTTCTCTTTCTCCTTTATTTATTTATTTATTTTTTTTTTAAAAAAACTGGCAGGGAGTTGGGTAGAAGAGGAAGTGTGCTGGAGTTGTGCACGCCTGGAGATTATACATATCATGACGCATGGATGGATGACTTCTCAAGGTACTTACATATCTATATCTATACCACTTTTGCTGTCTACTCTATAATCTGCTGTTGTTAATATGTTCCTGCTTAGCATAGGATACCCATGCTTCGACAAGAGCATTTAGCATTTCTCTCACTTTTGATTTTTGATCTTTTCCAGTCCTTGATGTCCACCAAGATCTTCTTCAAACTTGGGTCTTGGTAACTCAAAGGCCTCATTCGTTCTGCTATATGTGATGCCCCCCATCCTTCCAATGGGTCTCAAAATCTACAAACTCAGTCAGCACACGACAACAGCTCACTCGGGTTTACAATTCGCATCCTAATCCGACTTACTGCAGGATCGACCATGTTTCTATCGTCATTAATAGCGTCCTCCCTGACCCAAAACCTGACCCCTTCCAATACCACCATCACCCCTGTCTTCTGGCCCGAAACCCTGCTCTCCCACTCCTTCAGCATGTCGAGTTTCGCCTCCACACTAAAAATGGCCTCCTTGACCCGTGGGCACTTGACCACGTCGCACTTCTCCGCAGTCAGCCCACTTACATCCCATTCCGACGTGCCGTACGGCGCATCAATGCTCGTCGAATTGGCAGCTTCGACAAACGAGTCCGAGATGATATTTATCACGCACTCCTTGGAATCGAGCAGATTTCTGAGAGAATCCTTGGCCGAAGCAATGGAGCTGGCGAAGCCGACGACAAACAGTGGCGGGTCGTGGTTCACCATGTTGAAGTAGCTGAAGGGCGCGAGGTTGGTCGACCCGTCGCTCGAACGAGTCGACAAAAACGCAATGGGGCGCGGAACAATGCTCGATATGAGAAGCTTGTAGTTGAAGACGGCCGGGCGGCCTGGCTCGTACGGGTCAATGGAGACGTGGGCGGATTGCGGCTCTGGCCTGTTTGCGCCGGAGCCAAACGTCCAGTCCGGCAAGGTGGTTTGTGTGACGTTGAACGAGGCCGGGGGAGCCGGCGGACGGGACGACTCGACCGTCTTGAAGTCCGGGTGTGGGTTGCTGGTGGTGGCGTGGGACATTGTGAACGGGGCCGTGAGGGTGCGATTGCGCAGAAGATGAGATGATGGGCGAGGCGTTGGAAGAGCAAGCCTGAGGGGAGGCATATAGACGGATGTGGATGATTGGGGCCCCGGGGGGGGGGGGGGGAGTTAAAGGAGGGGGGGTGTTTGTGTGTTATTT